AAAGGATGAATAAAACAAAGGCTCATCATATAAAAAGGACAAATAAAACAAAGGCTCATCATGTAAGGAAACCAGAATCATCCAGTCCACAATACATCATGTCCCTGCACAATGTCAGTGGACATCCAACAGGCAAACACGCTTTGAGAGCCTTGACCTTCACAGTGGAATCTTGGTACTAACCACCTGGGCCCAAAGCTATAGATCTAAAGCTGACCTGCATAAAGCCCTTCCTTTTCCCCAGTAAGCATGTATGGAACAAGCAGTAAAATCCATGGAAAGAAGTCTCCAGAGAGCCTGCCAAGGCACATTAGTATACAGGTGAAACTCGAAAAATTACAATATCGTGCAAAAGTTAATTTATTTCAATAATGCAACTTAAAAGGTGAAACTAATATATGAGATAGACTCATTACATGCAACGCAAGATAGTTCAAGCCCTGATTTGTCATAATTGTGATTATTATGGCTTACAGCTCATGAAAACCCCAAATCCACAATCTCAGAAAATGAGAATATTACATGCAATCAATAAAACAATTGTACATAAAACAGAATCGTACCTCTGAAAAGTATAAGCATGCATATGTACTCAGTACTTGGTTTGGGCCCCTTTTGCAGCAATTACTGCCTCAATGCGTCGTGGCATGGAAGCTATCAGCCTGTGGCACAGCTGAGGTGTTATGGAAGACCAGGATGCTTCAATAGCGGCCTTCAGCTCTTCTGCATTGTTCAGTCTCATGTCTCTTATCTTTCTCTTGGCAATGCCCCATAGACGCTCTATGGGGTTCAGGTCAGGCGAGTTTGCTGGCCAATCAAGCATAGTAATCCCACAGTCATTTAACCAGGTTTTGGTGCTTTTGGCAGTGTGGGCAGGTTCCAAGTCCTGCTAGAAAATGAAGTCAGCATCCCCATAAAGCTCGTCTGTGGAAGGAAGCATGAAGTGCTCCAAAATCTCCTGGTAGATGGCTGCGTTGACCCTGGACTTAATGAAGCACAGTGGACCAACACCAGAAGATGACATGGCTCCCCAAATCAACACAGACTGTGGAAACTTCACACTGGACTTCAAGCATCTTGCAGTGTGTGCCTCTCCATTCTTCCTCCATACTATGGGTCCTTGGTTTCCAAATGAGACGCAAAGTTGCTCTCATCAGAAAAGAGGACTTTGGACCACTGAGCAACAGACCAGGTCTGTTTTTCTTTAGCCCAGGTAAGACGCTTCTGATGTTGTTTGTTGTTCAGGAGCGGCTTGACAAGAGGAATACGACATTTGAAGCCCATGTCCAGGATCCGTCTGTGTGTGGTGGCTCTTGATGCACTGACTCCAGCCCCAGTCCACTCCTTGTGAAAGTCCAACACTTTTGAATGGCCTTTTCCTGACAATCCTATCCAGGCTGCGGTCATCCCTGCTGCTTGTGCGCCTTTTTCTTCCACACTTTTCCCTTCCACATAACTTTCTATTAATGTGCTTTGATACAGCACTTTGGGAACATCCAACTTCTTTTGCAATTACCTTTTGAGTCTTTCCCTCCTTATGGAGGGTGTCAATGATGGTTTTCTGCACAACTGTCAGGTCAGCAGTCTTTCCCATGATTGTGATTACTACTGAACCAGACTGAGAGACCATTTAAAGGCTCAGGAACCCTTTGCAGGTGTTATGGCTTAATTATCTGATTAGAGCGGGACACTTTGAGCCTAGAATATTGCACCTTTTCACAATATTCTAATTTTCTGAGATTGTGGATTTGGGGTTTTCATGAGCTGTAAGCCATAATCATCACAATTATGACAAATCACGGCTTGAACTATCTTGCTTTGCATGTATTGAGTCTATCTCATATATTAGTTTCACCTTTTAAGTTGCATTACTGAAATAAATGAACTTTTGCAAGATATTCTAATTTTTCAAGTTTCACCTGCATAAGGACACTAGCACAAAGCTGGAGCTGTGCTGGACAGGGAAGCCTTCCTATTTTTGACCAGTGTCCATTCACTTTTAGGTGGCTGCATATTCCAAGTGGTCATGAACAGAGCTGCTGTTAGAAACCATGGTGCCCTATACAGCCTACCTGACAGGGCCCCTCTCCCCCCCAAAAAAAAAACGAAGTTTGCTATGCTCCAGGTATGAATGAACACAGTGAGTGATACTGATCATTCATTGTGTTCATTCAGGAAAGGGCTGGTAAATGTGACATATTTACCGGACCCTTCCCCCACTTTCTATCCTACTGTGTTCTTGCAGCTGCCTGTGGGAAGGAGAGGAGGGAAGCTGACAGCTCTGTGGGGGGTGGGGGCACACAGGGGGACCTGGGTAGCAGGGGGAAATATAAGGTGCACAGGGAGGTGATTGGTGCGGGGGGCGCAATTACTGGAACTGATCCCCTCTATGGCTCGCTCTGCAGCAGCTGAAAGTCAGCAAGAGGGAGAGAAGAAGCCAGATTTCAGCTGCTGCAGAGAGCCATACAGGAGATTGGTTCCAGTAATTGTCCTCCTGCCATGCTGATCACCCTCCCTGCCCACCTCTAATTCACCCAGCTGCCTGAGCCCCCCTGCTGGCCTGGGCCTCAGAGGAGGACTGGTGGTACCCCCTTACCCAAGGCCCTGGTCCTGAATAAGAAGAAAGTCTATGCCCCATGAATGATTAAGACATTTCTATTTCAATATTGTAATAACCCTAGACATGACCACAGTGAAGTCTTACACCGGAGAAATAAAGTGAATGCACCCACTAAAGCTGTACAGAAAGAAAGTTACTATATTATGAAATATTGAGGTTTTACTTATTCTTTTTCCTCCGGAACACAGTACTAGTCCATAATAAAAAACTGATAAATTTAGAATGAAAAACTTGCCAAACAGGAATCGTTGCATTTCCTCTGTGCATTTGCTGTATAAACTGATGCTGCTGTTCTTGTGATATGCTCCTTATCTTCAAGTGTTCTGCAAGCAGTTTTTCCCCTTTTCAGTTTGTTTACCTAGTTACATATTATTACCTCTTGCTACAAACAGTCAATCTTCCAAAAGGAAAAATGTACACTGTACGTGTGTGTCCGTGCTTGTGTGTATACATACAACACAATCTTTTAATGGGTTTTTGTCTATACTTTCCTTCATCCTTATGTGCAGAAAAAGCAAAAAGTTAGAATAATTTTAAACACTACCATTGATGCTTACAAGGTTTAAAATAGAATTCCATGTTTGCAATTAGCAACTACTGTGCAGTGTAGAGTTGAGTTTAGGAAAAGATTGATGTGGATCTCGATCCTCCAAAAATGCTAGAGATACTCCCAATCAGGGCCAGATTTAGCCTCACTGATCTGGGGGCGCAGTAAAAAAAAAAAAAAAAAAAAGTCAGGGGGCACAATGTCAGTCTGTCATACAGTATCACGACCTGGGAAACACTAGTATTAGGCTGTCATTAGATTAGGGTGATTAAACAGAACCTATGCCTTCTTATATCAGGTGTCCTCATCAGAGTTCCACTTGACATCATGAAGTCATCAGCAACCTCCTTTACATCAGGATCCCTATCATGGTGCCCCCTTACATCAAGGTCCCTATCAGGGTGCCCCCCTCCATCAGGTGTCCCCATCACTGTGACCCCTGAAATGGATTGTCCCAATCAGTGAGCCTTCTTACATCAACTGTCTGCATCACATTAGAGAGCACCTTTATATCAATTGCTCCCAATCAGACTGACTCATAGCTCAGTGCATACACTCTGAGACCTGGGAGGACGCGACAAAAATCTGGGGGCATACCCCCCCAGATTCAACCCTGATCTTGATGCTCCAGAAATGATAGAGAGGACTGATGTCTTACTATGTATGCATCTGACACATACAGGTCTATAGCCAAGCTTTGCATTACCTCATTGGAATAAGCCTGATGATTTCAAATTCCTGTGCATCAATAAAAAAACCTCTTAAAACCCACAGTGCTCTAGGCTTAATGACTGTATAGCTGTACAAAATTATCACAAAGTTAAAAAAAAACAAAAACGAAACAAAAAATTATGAGTACACAGTGCTTTCCCACCCTAGCTATATACAATAAATAAAATGTTACTTGTTAAATCCTATTTTCATAATGTTGCACTTGTTAGTGTCTGGAACACTCTGTATAGAAGTAAATCTCTTTACAAAACCATTCTGAGCAGCTCTGTACGTTCAGATCACTGTGATAGACCATAAAGAGACCAATTACCACTATCACATGATGTAAACAGTATGTTTACATCTGTGAACCCCCCTCCCCTTCCTCTTGGTTTTTTTTGTTCATCCCCATACTGGCAGTCCCATTAGATGTCAACTGGGACACGTAGCTGCACGGACAGAGCCTCTTTGTCCCAATATGACATCTGTATGGATGCGGCTGCATGTCCACAAACTCACCTTGGGTGGATTCAGGACTGTGCTCCCGCACAGATGGCACATGTGGACACAATGGCTGTGTCCATGCAGCCATGTGTCCCAAAAGACATCTATGGTACTGCCTGCCCCTTGCCAGCAAAACACAGGATAGCATGGGGCACACAAGTAATCACTCCATGTGAATGGGGCCTTATAACATGGAGGAAGGGGAGGAAATTGGAAATAATGAATGACTCCATCCAGTTATTCATTCATTAGTTCCTAAGTACAATGAAGGCAGCAACTGCTGCAAGTAAAGCATTTAACCCCTTTATCCTCCCCTCCTCTCCTATATATCCAATCTCCATTGTGGCACAAAATTATACCATACTGGGGTCTCTACTTCCCAAAAAAGGGGCCATTTTGAGGTGTTTGCACGGCCATGGCATTTTTATTCTAACAGAAAATAAGAAAACAGTACTATTTGTCTCTAAAAAAAAAAAAAAAAAAAAAAAGGACATAAAATTTGGGCACAATGTTGCATGATTAATTGTCAAAGTATCACAGCACTGGAGACTGGAAAATGGCTTGGTAATGAAGGGGTAATACAGGCTAGTACTCAAGTGGTTAATAAAGTAACCTCACCTGATGCTGGTGGCTTTGTGATTTCAAATAGAACAGTTCCTGACTCCATGTCTCGGATTTTAAATCTTGTGAAGTCTATCTTGTAAATATTTTCTTCTGGGGTGCATAAATAATCTGTGAAAAGAGCAAATGGATGGTTAGATTTCAGGAATAAATCCTTACTCTAAGAACAGATTGAAAAAGAAGTCTAAGGATAGCAGTAAAGTGCTAGTGCTCTTCAAAAACCAAAAGTCCAATGAAAGTCCCATAAATCAGAAGGAATCCACTTAAAAGGTTTTTTTTTTAGTGATAGTGACTCCCAGTGTTGCAATTAATTCACTGTGCAACCAAAGTTGCATGTCCCCTGAAGATGTGTGTGCGAGCGAAACGAGTTGGGTGAGGCCTTAAGTGTTGACATCATGCAGCAGTTTCCAAGTCAGTGGCCATCTTAGGCCCTTGCTGGACGGAAATGATCTGGAGTAGAGATCTGAGAGTTGACTCCATGGGGTTTATTTACTAAAGCTGGAGAGTCCAAAATCAGACTCCCTTCTGCATAGAAACCAATCAGCTTCTAACCTCAGCTTGTTCAATGAAGCTTGGCAATGAAACCTGGAAGCTGATTGGTTTCTATGCAGAAGGGAGTCTGATTTTGGACTCTCCAGCTTTAGTAAATAAACCCCCATGTGCCTGTATGAACGGCTGGTATTATATGCGAACGCCCATTAGCTATCTGGTGAGTGCATAAGGGTGAAGGATCACAAACACTTTGGTTACACAGTTCATCAATTGCAACATTGGGAGTCACTATCACCAAAAAGCCTTTTGATTAGATTCCTCATACGATTTATTGGACTGTCAGACTTTTGGTTTTGGAAGAGAACAAACTTTTTTTTTGCATATAAGATTTTTACTGTCGGTTTGTATCACTACATGTAAAGGCACTTTAATGTCTATATTTACTTATTGAGATTTTATGTCTGATTTATTATTGATGCGTTGCACTTTTTTGGAGCCATCTTTATTAGGAGGTTTGTCTGTCATTTTATGCTAGCTCTCACCTCTGAGAGCTCACCTTTTTTTTTTTATTGAGGATATAGGAACAGATTGGGCAAAACTATTGGGGATCTGTCATCCTAAAGATTCTAAACCCCTGCATTAGGTGGACATAAACAAACCTATACAATGTACTCACCAAATGCTAACGTCTTGTGAAGCATTTAGGTTCTCATAAGGTCATAAGGCTAGGGCAGGTATAGAAGAATACACTGATTGCATATTTTAAAAAAAAGACTGCTAATGTAGTTAAACAACACTCAGTTTTACTTCTATAGATACAGTTTACGGCACTGGACCACCAGCCACCTCCCAGGGAACATTTTTCACCCTTTCAGATTATCCCATCATACAGCTTCTTAAATCACAATGTATAAAAGGAAACAAATTCTACACTATACACCTCTAAATCCATGCCAAAATTAATCCACACACCGACAGGATTAAAAGTTGAAGGCAAATGAAAAAGCTGAAGTTAAAGAGGGACATACTGGGAAGAAGCCTTCAGGTCACATCTGCTGTATATATTTCACCAGTTGCTAACAATTAAATAAAATACCTGGGGCTATTTTGGTTATTTACTGTAAACCAAGATATTTTACCAGCAGTTACTGTGTATGTATTACAAAAAAAAAAAAAGGAGCACGATTTATGGTATTAAAAATGCCTGCACCAGCCCCAAAAATGCAATAAAACTGAGTATAGGATCCAAGTACACAATTCTCCCCAGCCTTCCACAATGTAGTAATCAGTGAATAAGTAGTCAGTCACTAGGCCCAAGTATTGTCAGATGAGGGTGGGCACTTTTTTTTTTTTTTTTTTTTTTTTTATAAATGGAGCTCTGAGTTGGGGGGAACAGTCTATTAGCCAGGACGGCAAACAGATAAGGATCTATTTTGAAAAGTATAGTCTTTGATATACTTTGAATATGGTTGACATCCCTGCAGCATTGGAGGCTCAAAGACTTGAGAAATCTAACAAGCTATCCTACCCATGCTCTGATGCAGAAAATCTGGAAAAAGTCTAGGCTGTCAAAATTGGTTACAGGATTTACCTGTTGAAGTCCTGTTTGTGACAATGCCTCTTCTAAGATCCAGAAAAGTGCAGCCAAAACTAATGCTCTTTGTGTGGAAGCAGTGGACCCTATGCAGAGGTACAAAAAAAACACCTCTTGCTGAGTCAGCCCAGGGTAGATAAAAATCAATTTTTGTTTTTTTAAATAAGATTTTATTAAAATAAATTTGATAAAAATAAAAAAAAAACTATCTAAATATAATTTTCCATTTAAGGTACATTAATAATTTAGTTTATTCAGTATGAAATGGAGCTTAGTTATGTAGCATGAGGCTGTATATTCTGCAATATTTAAATTTTTGGTAAACTCATTCAATGAATTAAAGCTGAGGTAACCTGCACTGCATTGGTGCATTCACACAATTTCACAGTAACCATGAGAAAAAAAAAAAACATGAAACAAAAGAATTAGAGTAGTTCTCCAGCTATGTGTGATTAACCTATTAACCTAAAATCGGTTCTGATATCGCTGTTTTCAGCTTATTCTAAAAAGGAAACCTTGATTTGGTTTGTAAATATAAAAGAATCTAACTACCAGCAAAAATGAGTCGGAGTCCTTACATTTAAAGAGCACCTGTCATTTTAGATCCATCATGGCAGCATCTATTAGCAGGCATCCACTCACCTGCTGCCGCCACGTCCCTCACCTTGTCGTGTCACTGCTGCATCACCAGTCGTCCCATTAAAGTGAATGGGACTGTTGGTGAGTCAACAGTGGGTCATAGGAGGAGATGATCGTTGCTCTTTAAAAATGATGATTTAAATCAAGCCTTTTCACCAGTGATTTAAATCAAATCCACCTTGGTCAGACCTATAGTTGTGCAATCACAAAAACCTAAGCTCTCTGCCGATTGAAGAGCACTAGCTCTTACTCAGCAGGTGGCATGTCAGACCTCTGCAGGCAGACCACTGTTTCTACAGAGGGGCCAAGGGTCCTTCACTACATCATGCTAGGGACAGATTTTATTATTAGGCTGTCTTTCAGAAAATGAACTATTAGGGCTCCTTTGCAGCAGCACGCAATTATGTGCATTGTGTCATGCATTACAATGCACCACAATGGACCAAAAATTGTCCATGCATGTTTGGATGAACAGCACACCACAAAGCAACACTATGTAGAAAATTCTGAAAAATTCTGTTCGGTAGATCCACACAATACATTATGTTCAACATGCAAGAAAGTGAAACTGGTGAAGCAAAAACTACATACGCAGACCAGAATGACTGGCAAGAGGCTACAGTCCAATCTTCCAGCTCAATCCTGAAATGAAGGATTATATATAAAGATCTATAAATGCCAATAACAAAATAGGACTTTTTCTTTTAAACGTTAGCACAGCTACTATATTTCTTGATAACATTAGCAGTTCGCAGATTTCACTTGTTGCCCATAGATGCTCTTTAAACCGACGTCAGCAGCAGTTTGCATTAATAAGTGTCACAAATATTACAGCTGGCTGCACAGTGCATTATTTGTAAATGCTGATTGACTAAAACCATACAACTCTTAAGCCGCTTTGCAACCTCATTAAGTCGGCATTCCTGAAATAGAAACAGATTAAGAGTTGCCACGGCTCCATAATGGTCTGTCAGCTCGTCTTCCATAAACACAGAGGTACCTTGGCTCCATCCTACCTAGCTCACCGCTAGAGCTGGATACTGATTACACTGGCAGGTACGGTTACAGCCATCAGTCATTCTACATGGAAATAACACAGGAAGGCAGAGACACATGAGATTAATCCCTGTGTGTGTCATTATCAGCATGCTGAAAGAAAGGATATCGAGGGAACATTGTGTATCAGTGTTACAGCAGTTTGTAAATCGTAATCAAAACTATACACCAAGGTATAACAAGGTTTCAGGTACACAGTATATATTTTAGATGTCAGGTTTTTTTTTTTCTGGTGTCCCATTGGGAAGAATTTCCTTCACTTCCTGTTCTGGAGACAACCAAAAAAAAAAAAAAAAGGGAAAATATTTTTAAAGTGAAGGAAATCTACAAAGCAGAACTCCAGAATGTCGGACACTTTCTAAAATGTGCTCGCTTACTAGGAGTTAAAGTAGAATCTAACCACTCCTAAATTAACTCCCCACCCACCCGTGTTCCATGGCACATATGCGCTGCCAGTCTCCCCCAGGCCTTTAGGAGTCGGCAGTGACAGGCGACGGATTAGCGCACATGCAAATAAATGCTGGCAGCTTCAGTGCCCTCTGGCACTTGTGTGCATGCGCAGACATTCGCCACCGCAGATGCTTTCAGCTTGGTAATAAACTGCCTCCTTGGAAAAGCTGTGACGTAGCAATGCCAGGAGACAACAGAAGTATTGCCTTGCAACACAAATATAAGCAAAACTGAAAAATAGAATTTTTTTTTGCATTACTGAAATAGGGAGGAACAAAGTAAGGAGAGTTTGTTTAGGCGAGTTAAGTTCCACTATGTCCAACAACTTGCATGCCACCTTGGGGACTTTTATTTACAGCTGACAGTTTTACTGGAGTACCTGGAGTACAGTTATCTCTATTCTCTCTTCTGCTCACCCCTCCCCATCACTGCCCTTTTACAGAAAGCTTTGTATTTTATTAATAGGTTCACATAATACAAAAGCCCTCTGATGGTCAGGAGAAGGGAAGGGGCAACAAAGCAGCTACATGCACCTGCAGCTCAGATAGGAAGGTCCAGCATCAGAGCACTAGTGATAGCCATTCTCAGTAAAAACATAAATTGAAGATAAGCTCATGAGGTGGCATGCCCCTCATTGGACTTAACACATAGTAATACAGTACATTTTAGAAAGTGGCTGAATTGCTGGAGTTCAGCTCTAAGATGCCATACACCAATTCTCTCAATCAGCCCAGGATTTCCCTCGTTCATCACTTGAGTGCCCCATCTATGCTAAACCGTGTTGGCGTAAAACTGACAGCTGTCAAAATACAAAA